TAGGGATCGGGAGAGCCGAGAGCTGGGCTAACATCATGTGCCAATGTTTTTGGCTTTGTGATCTTGAAAATGACAGGTCATCTCTCTGAGCCTCAGTTTACTCATCTAAAATAATTATAACATTTACCTCACAGGGATTTTGAGAGGACGAAGTGACAACAAAAAGGAAAGTTCTAGCCCAGTCAAGCACGGATCGGGCAGGAGGTGGGGGTGACAGAGAGTGATGGGGGCGTCTGAATGGATGGATTATTCTAAATTGACTCTGGACCTCAAACCCCATTCTGTGAATCTATGATATTATGAAGACAGAGGCACTCAGGGGAGTCACTCGGTTGCTACTAGTGATGCTTACTTAACCCATTCGATAATTCAAACTCTTAGAGAAATGCACAGCTAGAGTAAAAGACAATTATGCTATTTGATTCTGTATTGTTAGCAAAGATCAAGAGGGTTTACACAGCACAGGGTCAGCCCTTCATAAACATCAGTCCCTTTTTTCTCCATCTTTCCAGAAAGTACACTTCAAATAAAAGGTGACAATGATTTTTAAAGAGCTTTGCTTCTACAGAAGCAAATCTGTAGTTTTACCAAGGACAGGATGAATCAACTTCTGTTGTTGTTCAATTTCAAACCTTATCCAACGTGACGACTGGATCAACGTGATGATTTGGCCAGCCTAATTTGCCAATTTTCAGTGCATCGCATATGAAGTCTTTTAGAAAATGACTCCAAAGCCCCGCCCTAAATTTGAGAGAGGTTTGTCTGTGGTGGTGTATGATGTGTCTTTAAAAGACTGACTCCAGGAACTTTATGTGAAAACACATTTCCTAACTCTACGTTCATAGCATGTAGGTGCTTACTGGTGTTTACAGAAATGATAGAAATGGAGTCACGATGGGGATGTTACAATCTGTTTTTCCTTAAAGTAATATTGTAAATACAGCTGAAGGAATAATGCAGGAATTTTTGTTCATATCTAGGTGTTCTTTTTAAGTAATCAATATTTATAACCATTAGTTGAGAGCTTACCACAAGACTAATGAAAAAACTGTAATTATGAAAAATTATTTTAAAAAATCATAAAAAATGAATTAACCAATAACCCAAAGGTAAATAACATATTTGGTTATTAGTAAAAAGAGTAAGATAGATACTAAGCCTGCTACGGTGTCAATTACCCAAGCGATTCAGGAGAAATTAAGTGATTTCACCTAAGTTTTATAGGTAATTGCCTCAAGTTTTTATTTAAACCTTCTAAGATATACCTAAAGTCTTCCAATAAAGTACAGGAAAAGATGCATCCATCCCAGTTGTTGGACAGTTTGTTTCTATGAAAGACTTCAACTTCATGCTGGCAGCTTTGTCACAGCCGTAATCCATACCCCAGCCTGGTTGTAATGGAAAGTCCAACTTATAAATGCCATTCATATCATTAGATTAAACACGAAGCCTCGTTCAGTATTCCTGGGTCATAACTTTATATTAAATAGCTGAGAACATCTCTGACTATCTGAACTGCAATAGTGGCCAGAGAACAGACTTTTGGAGTTCTCACAGATTAGACAATAAGTAAAAGTGACCTATTATAATGACTGTCTTTTTATTTACCTTGATGACTTTTATTAGCACTTGGCTAGAAAGATCAGCTGTATTGCAGATTCTCTTGGTTTCCCATTTTATCCAGGTCATTATGTTAATTAGTGTTAAGCAGCACATTAAACCCCTCAGAGCAGTCAAGAATCAATCAATGTCTTCTGAGGTCCTTTATATGCAAAGCACCATCTAGGCACCTTGAGAACACAAAATGGAAGACACTGACTGGGCCTAAAGGAACAAGGCCTTGCTTAGAAGGAAAGAATACACAGTGGAAGAATTATACCAAAATGGCACAAGACTGGTTGCTACGTGGGGGATGTTGACAGTATGTTTTACTCCAATGACAATGAGCCTTTTAAGTTCCAAACTTATAAAATGCAACGCTGCATATAAAATATTTCAGGAAAAGAAGTTCACCTGTAATTACAAAGGTAAAAATTCAAATGGCATTCCTTAAGGCAGGTTTGGGGTATATTTTATGCTAAGCTTTAATCTTTAGTTTTGAGCTTTTTTATGACTTCTTGTTAGGGGTATGTGCTGAATGAAGGAATCCTCTGGTTATCATTTGCCAGCTGGCCAATGCTGAGCACTGCAAATGGAGATAACATCTTTATTGAGGATATAAATATTTAATCATAGATGCTTTTCATAATAGCTTCTTAGTATATCAAAATCATTATCACTAGGCAATTAGAAGAGAAAACAAAAAAGCATCCATACTGGAATGGATAAAATAAAACTATCTGTTTGTAGATGATATGACCTTATTAATAGAAAATCCTAAAGAATCCACATGCAGAAACTATTAGAGCTAATAAATGAGTTCAGCAAGATTGCAGAATGTAAGAGCAATATAGAAAAATCAATTGTATTTATACCAATGAACAAGCAGTCCAAAAATGAAATTACGAAAGTAATTTCATTTATAATAGCATCATAAAGAAGAAATTCAAAAAAAGGAGTATAAGGTTTGGACACTGAAAACTACAAAACATCAATGAAACAAATTAGGGGAGAACTAATTAAGTAGAAAGACATTCCATGATCATGGACTGGAAGACTTAATATTGTTAAGGTAACAATAGTCCTCAAATTGATCTACAGATTCAGTTCAATGTGTATCAAAGCCTCCATTCTTTTTTTTTTTTTTTTTTTACAGATATTGGCAAGCTGATCCTAAAATTCATATAGAAATGCAAAGGACCCAGAGTAGCCAAAACAGCCTTGAAAAAGAACAAAGTTGGAGGCACTCACCCTTCACAATTTCAAAACTTATAACAAAGCCATAATAATCAAGACTGTATGGTATTTGCATAAGGACAAACTATACTTAGTATAAATTATACTAAGTATAAATTGATTGGTACTATAGAATTGAGAATCCAGAAATAATAATAACCACAGACACATTTATGATTAATGGGTTTTTTACAAGGGTACCAAACAGTTAAATGGGGAAAGAACAATCTTTTCAACAAAGGGTGCTAGGACAATTGGATATCTATGTGCATAAGAATGAAGTTAGACCATTGGCTTACACCATACCTGAAATGGACTCAAAATGGATCAAAGACCTAAGTATTAGAACTAAAACTATAAAACTCCTAGGAGAACACATAAGTGTATATCTTCATGATCTTGGATTAGTTAATAGTTTCTCAGATGTGACACCAAGAATACAATCAACCAAAGAAAAATTAGATAAATTGGACTCCATTAAAATTAAACACTGGTTTTTTTCAGACAAGGTTTTGCTCTGTTGCCTGGGCTAGAGTGCACTGGCATCATCATAGCTCACTGTAATCTCAAACTCCTGAGCTCAAGTGATCCTCCTGCCTCAGCCTCCCACATAGGTGGGACTGTAGGTGCATGCTAACATACCTGGCTGATTGTTTTCTATTTTTGTAGAGACAGGGTCTCACTGTGTTGCTCAGCTGATCTTAAACTCCTGGGCTCCACCAATCCTGTTGCCTACACCTCTTAAAGTACTAGGATTATAGGCATGAGCCATCACACCCAGCCCAAAATTAAAAACTTTTGTCCTTCAAAGGACACTATCAAAAAAGTGAAAGACAAACTACAGAATGGGAAAAAATATTTGCAAATCATGTATTTGCAGATCCAGAATATATATAGAACTCTTAAAACCCAGCAATAGAAACGCAATTTTAAAATGAGTGATGGATTCAAATGGAAATTTCTCCAAAGAAAATAACACAAATGGCCAATAAGCACATGAAAAAATGTTCAACATCATTAGTCATAAGAGAAATGCAAATCAAAACCACAATGAATACCACTTCACACCCACTAGGATGGCTATGATGAACAAAAAAAGGCAATAACACGTATTGGCAAGGATGTGGAGAAGTGGGAACCCTATATATTGCTGGTAGGAATATAAAATAGTGCAGCTGTATTGAAAGCAGTTTGGCAGTTCTTTCAAAAGTTAAACATAGAGCCACCATATGATCCAGCAATTCCACACTTAGGTATATACCCAAGAGAATCAAAATCATGTCCACACAAAAACTTGTACACAGATGTTCACAACAGTATTATTCATAGTAGCCAAAAAGTGGAAATAATCCACATGGCCATCTGCTGACCAAAGTATAAACAAAATGTGGTATAACTATACACAATGTGTTATTATGAAGGCATGAAGTATTGATTCATACTACAGTGTGGATGAACCTGGAAAAAACATTATGCTGAGTAAAAAAGGCCAGGCACAAAAGTCCACATACTGTGTCATTTCATTCATATGAAATGCCCAGAATCCTATAGGCAAAATCAGAGCAACAGAATAGTAGATAAATGGTTTCCAGGGCCGGGGTGACAGTGGAAATGGAAAGTGAATCCTGATGGACACGGGGTTTCTTTTGAGGTGATGAAAATGATCTAGAATGAGATAGTGGTGACGGCTGCAAACTTTATCAATATACTAAAGACCATTGAACTGTATGTTTTAAAAGAGTGAATTTCATACTATGTGAATTATGTCTCAGTGTTTTTAATTATCGTATTTTTCCTTGATCACTCTACAAATTAAGTTGTTCTGATAAAGCATAATATAACTTGGCAAGAAATATTGTCATTAAAGCACGTGTTTATATATTTTCCTCCTAAGAAGAAACAAAAGAAGCCTCATAAGTGATCTTATAGACTGCGTGAAATACCGTCTGTGTAGGTGCCAGTGTAGACAGATGGCAAGACCTGCGTTTCTCTCCAGTTATACCATGAAGATTAACACTGGCTCATCACTTCTGTCCTTTCATTAACCTAAGATAGACCCTTCGCATTGAGATTTATCAAGTGTTTATTGTTCTGAAATTGAGGGAAGCATCATAAATATTTTCACACACGGACATTTCATGCTTGTTTTCTTGTTCTTTTCCCAGGTACTACCTTTCCCAAGCCAGGTGGTGTATAACAGAGTAGGCAAATGCGGGAGCCGTACTGTGGTCTTGCTTCTGAGAATCTTGTCAGAGAAGCACGGATTTAATTTGGTCACATCAGACATTCACAACAAAACCAGGCTCACTAAAAACGAACAAGTAAGTTGACTCTGCCCATTGTTGAATTGTATGTGGCTTCAACTCATTTGTGTAATTAGTGGGCGCCTCACCGGGCATGCTTCAAACTACTGCAAATGAAGGTCAGGGTTTCAATTTCATGCTGTATTTTTTGCCAGCTCGTGGAAGTAAATTGAAGTCAAGGCTTCTACGGGGACTCTATAAACCAGGAAGCCTCCCTGAAGGGATACGTTTGTTAGGACTGATGCAGGACGGTATGCACTTGTCATTGTCTATTTAGCTAAAATTAGCAATACGTACATCTCAAATACTTACACCACTGAGCTATAAATAATGCCGGTACCTTCTCAGTCAAGATGAGAAAATTTTCTTCTAATATTTTTTCTTTTCTTTTCTTTTTATTTTTTCTTTTATTTCTTTCTTCTTAATATTTTTTCTTTTAATAATTTTCTCCCTCGTGTCCAAAATCTTTATGATTATAGTGAAGAGAAAGTGCTCTTTGGGCCAGGGATCTGGTTGGTTGATGGGAGACACGAGCTTCCTGTCACGGCAAACTCAGAGGATACTGAGGCTTCCAGAGCAGCATTTGGAGTGTTCAGTGCTGAGAAAAGAATCACTCTGCTTCTCAGGAACAATTTTCCCCTAATGTAGCTGAGCCGTGCAAGTGGGCGTGCTGACGGCTGGTCAGGAGGGCTGTCCTATAGTAGGGAGCTGCGAAGGCTGATTTTACTTTGTAAGCCTGTACAGAAGTAGGGCTGACGGTCTCCATGGAGGTGCTTTGCTAAATGCAGAAAAGTTAGCATAGGGTCCTCACAGTCATTTTACAGGGTCGAGTTTGTCAGCCTGGTCTCGAAAACTTGCTTCTGTGCCCGTAGATGCTTAAAACGAGCAGCTACTCGATGAATGGTGCATGAGCGTGGGGCATAAACAGGGCACGTGGTTCACATCAGGTTGAGATAAGAATTACGGAAATTTCCACCCATGGCCATTTCTTCTAGACAAAATCCTCACCTTTGAGACATTCAGAACCTCACAAACCAACGGATTCTCACGCCTAACTTCCCAGCCCCACCTCTCTCCTTTATCTTGGGGGGAAAGTGGGACTGTTTCAAGACAGTAACAAAGCTGACAGGACTTGCTCTAAAGTCAGTATGTTTAGTGTCTTCCATAACATAAAGATCAGAATGCCTGTTCCCCTGAAAACTGCCATCAAAGAGTCTCTGAGTATCAAGTTTAGATAGTCATTGCCAGTACCAATAGTTAAATAGTCATTACCAGTCAGCAAAAATTATTTTGAGGTTACCCCTTGTAGGTTCTGTAGCAGCCTCTCTATAGAAAAAATTATCTTTGGTGACATTCAAGGTTATCGCATCCTATGTATAACTGTGTTTAATAAGGACAGGTTCTCTTTGGTGTCCCTGCTTGATTGAAGAGCAAATATGATTAGGCTGATGGTGCCTTTTTAACTACCTGAAAGAAAGTTAAGGATAAATTAACAGCCTATGTCACTGCAGTTTTATTAGAATTATTGAATTTGGTTTTCTTTTGAGTCTAACTGTAAAGGCCTGCTTATCAGATTATACTTAAATATTCCTGTATGTGGAAATTATGCTCAGTTCTCAGATGCCTCATAAAACACAGTTGCTAGATTTGAGTTCCCACTGCTGAAGAGGTTGCCAACAACCGAGAGAGAGCAAGACAGCAGTAACTAACGGATTAGACATTAGGATGTTAGGAATGTCCTGGAAGAGAGAACACAAACTATAATATTTAAATATGCCATGATATTTTGCACAGATGAACCTGTTAATACTTTGATTCCTATAAGGAACAAACATCAAAAAGTAAAAATTCAATTGTGACTATGAATGGAATCATTTGGATTGAAAATCAGTAATAATTTGCAGTGTATAGATCGTTGGATCCAGAAAGAGTTAAAGGCAAAGTCATCCTTGTCTAAAATATAGGTTAGCTCTCATCTGTTTGGAATGGTTGGCTTGTCTAGAAGCCAGGGAATAGACTAGACAATTTTTAAGGTTCTTTCCAGCCCTGTGATTCTGTGATATATTTATATAACTTCTAGACAATCTGTGTATTGTGTAGTTAAAAACATTTCTGATTCCTGTGGTCAGTGTGACCTAGAATATGTTTCATTATTTAATTATTCTGTATTCCTATAAAATTATAAGACAAGTTTTTAAGACCTAAGGCAAAGGTAACAATAAGGTAGAAAAAACAATTATATAATTTTGACTTAAAAACAAACAAAACAACAGTGACGAATGCCTGTCTGCAGCCAGCTATTCTGGCTCTGGCATGCAAAGAGAGTCTCCAGAAAATGAAGTGACCAGAAACCAAGTCGAAATCATTCAATAATGTTGAGAGAAATTCTTTTTCTTGTTCGGCGTGTCCCTTTTACTAAAGTTTCAGAGTGCATAAAATAAGCAGAGAAAAAAAATATTATTTAACTTAATAGATTCAAGAAATTGTTTGTGGTATGAATAGCTCCTCTTCTTAGTAATTTATTAGAAGAATAAGGGGGAGATGATTTAGGAGACTAGAGAAACTTTTATAGTTAGTGGTTCTCACCCATAAACAGTCAAACTCTGAAAATTTGTTCCCATGGAATCATTGCTCTCTAGAGTTAATAACAGTTCTGCTTCAGGTGCAGCGTGAGTTAAACAGGCTCCTGTGGGCTGGCCCGGGACTCTATCCACTGTGTGGAGCATTTCTTTTATGAGAAAATGTATTCCAAGTTCCAAACTATGGATTTACAAAGGAACTTTAGAATACTATCCTTTTTGAAGACTAGAATTATCTATAGCATTTCATTCATACACAAAGGCACCTCTCTGGGCCAGGGTCAAATTCACACATGCATTCCTCTCTGGAGAGTAGCTGTCATCTCTCTCTCTCTCTCTCTCTCTCTCTCTCTCTCTCTCTCTCTCTCTCTCTCTCTCTTTCTCTCTCTCACACACACACTCACACACACTCACACTCTCACAGCTAAATTGTTAAAGTATTTTTAATGGAACAAGATACTGAAGGAATTATTAAAAAGGGAAGGGAGCGTGAAGACACCAAATGTTAGAATGCCTATAAAAATCCCATTACATCTGTCCTTATAGAAATAGAAACACCTTTGAAGTTTATATTTTGGAAAACTCTGCCTCAGCTGCAGAGCATGGACAACTGCTGCTGGCCAAATGTTGGACCTTTGCACAGCATCTTATGCAAAAACCCACAATGACATCATTTCATGTATGCTCTGAAACCAGATTGCAGTTTCTTGGGCTGGCTTAAATGATCTCTTGGAAAATGAAGATTATGTACATTGTTTGAAAGACAGGGAATCTTTTGTTTTGCCAGAAGACCTGGGGTGTGATTGCTAAGAAAAACGTATAACCATCTTTGTTAATGGTCTGATACTGTCTTTCAGAACATTGCTGTAAGTCCAATAAAGGTCAGAATGCCACAGGCATATCACAGAACATATGTAAGAGTCCATAATTATTTCATTGTTGTTGGAGAAGAGCCAAAAATATTGAGACAGCAAATAATTTTTCTATTTCTATTGAAACCAAGGGTTGCAACTGGCTATAGCACCTAGCCAGCTAAAACAACTGTGCTAATTGTTTTACTTCATTATTTCCTTTAAGTCTTTTGCACCTAGAAATAGACTAGTGAGTGAGTATGATTCCCTATTGTATGGATGAGACAACTAAGACAACCAGATTAAGTCACTTTCCAATCATAATATAATATAATGACCGTCTGTGGCACCTGGCCTTGAACTTAGGCCCTCCTGCATCCAAAAGCCATTCTCACAATATAGAAGGTGTCTGCTCTGGCTGTACAGCAGCAGCTCCTGCAGAGCCTTTTAAAACCTCAAGTTGCAATGGCCCTTCTCCTGGAGATTCTGGGGTAGAGCCCAGAAAGCTTTTTTTTTTTTTTTAAATCAAGTGCCATAGGAGATTCTATGATGCAGCCAAGGTTAGAAGCCCTGTCAAAATCATCCTCTCAGCACTTCCCTAGGTGTGTTCCCGAGAATCCTGCTCCCCTAAGACAGTGAAAGACAGAAAATGCCATGGTTCAATAAATTTGGGAAATGCTGCGTGCCTTCTCCCGAATGAATCAGCTCACAGTGATTATTTACATTTCAAAGACTTTGAGAATTAAAAACAGAACCAAAGAATCTGTTTAACTGGGTTTCACCTAGCGTTTTCCGGTCTTCCTTGGTCAGGGGACTCATTATGAGTGCTTGTGACTCATTTGCATCCACAGAATTCCAGTTCACGGTTTGTGAAATACGGGACTAGCCTCCCCCTAGTCGTACCAGTAAAGGCTACTATTTCCCTATAAACTTCACATCTGCTCTGACTCCATTCAGCAGCTATTCCAATGATGAAAACCTTGAAGAGTATTCAAAGGGCGGAGGAGACAGAGAGCTTGTGCCCGGGTGCTCAGGGTGGCTCTAGCCTCTTGGTCAAAACAGTATTTCTTTATAATGGTTTTAACTTCTATCTCCCATTGCTTTTGCCCACTGCAAGGTCCAAGCCTGAATGGTGACTACAAAGCAATGAGACTTACAAAAAAGAAACTCACCTTGAGAAACCATGTTAGATTTGGAAAAAGTCTAGAGACCACAGGGATTTCTTTGAAGCTTCCCTAAGGCATGGTCGTCTGGGTTCTGTTTAATCGAGAAAGGTCACTCATTCATTTGTGAAGCAGATTTTCTCATTGTTTATTCGTTTACTTGGATGAATATTTATTAAGGTGTATACTGAACATCAGATACCATACTGCAGGTTTGTACACCTTATTTCCAATCCTCAAAGTAACATTATTAGGAAAGTATTAATATTATCATCCCACTTTTTAGGGAAGAATAAGTGTGTATAGGAAACTGATTAGGATGTAATGTAAATTAGGAACAATGTGGGCCAAGCACAGTGACTAACACTTGTAATCCTAGCACTTTGGGAGGCCAAGATGGGAGGATCGCTTGAGAATAGGAGTTC